CTACTAGCAGAGGCGATGACCCACTCGCGATCGCCCTGTTCTTACGACAGAACCACGCCCAAACCGAAGGAACTCTCGTCTGTTTGCACGATAAAAGGTAACGAAAAGTCGAGACACTGAAGAATGGGAGCGGTAGTTAATCGACGTTGGATCTCTCGGAAAGCGGAATTTTGGTCGTGGTCCCACGTCCACTCAATAAGCGAGTTAGGGGTTCACTAATTTGGGCGAACTGAGAGATGAACCGGCGATACCAGCTCGCCATGCCCAAAAAGTGGCGAAGTTGTGTTACCGTTCGAGGGAGAGAAGAATCCAACACGGGAGCAACTTTGTCCGGATCGATTCGAAGGTCTTCAGCATCAACGAGAAATCCCAGATATTTAACTTGAGAACGGCAAAAGTGGCTCTTATCGGGGTTGATAGTAAGCTCTGCCTGTTTAAGCCGATCGAACACTAATCGTAACCAATGAAGATGTTCATCGAAGGAACGCGTTGCGACAATAATGTCGTCCAAATACGCAAATACGTGGGGTTCCATTTCCGGCCCGATTAGACGGTCAATGAACCGCTGAAATCTAGCCGGTGCCCCCGTCAATCCGAACGACATTCGGACAAAATGGTACAGGCCTTTCCCCGGGACGGCAAACGCGGTAATTTCTTTACTCGATTCAGATAGCGGAATCTGTAAGTAAGCCTGACTTAAATCCAGGGTGGTAATATATTTTGCCGCGCGTAGTTTATCGAGAATCCCCTGAAGTAGCGGTAAGGGGTAGGCATCCTTCCGTGAAATGGCGTTAATTTTTCTAAAATCTAGGCACAGACGGTAAGTGCCAATTGGTTTCTGAATCATTACGATAGGGCTGGCCCAAGGACTCCGAGGAGGTTCTATAATTCCATCCCTTAGCCAACGATTTACTTCGTCATTAATCGCAGCCTGAATCGGCGGTGAGACCGGATAATTACGTTGACGAATCGGTGGATGGTCTCCGACGTCAATGACGTGGGTTGCTAGGGAGGTACACCCTAAGCCCTTCGAGAAAGCTGGTAATTCCTTATTGAGGAATTGCTGTAAGGCGATCTTTTGCCATTCCGACAGCTTCACCCCCCCCCCCCCGCACACGGGATCACTCGCTCCCGCCGCAACTCCACAAGCCCTTCAAAAGGGTACCAGGTGGCGGGTCGCGAAGCGAACGACCACACGAGCCGAGGGAAGTCGATCTGTATCTCAAAGGCAACTAAGGCATCTAGGCCTAGGACACACGGAAAGGTTAAGTCCGGAAGAGCCCTAACAGTAATCATACGGGTCACAGGGCCCAAGGTAATTGGTAGGGCCATTTCCGCCAGTATGGAAGAGACTCGTCCATCGGCAAATACTACACGTTGGGATGCCGACAACGCCGTCCTTTCCCCTAGTAACTCTTCCCAAGCGGGACAGTGACGACCGATAAAGGTTCGGGAGGCTCCCGAATCTACCAAAGCTCTCACCGGTTTTCCGGAAATCAGAAGGTTCACAAATAACAAAGTGACTGATTCGGCGGTAAGCGTTGAACTTAGACCTTCCTCCTCCTCCGGGATAGTATAATTATGCGCGATCCAAAACTTATCGGGAGGCGGTAAATTATACGAAAGTGACCTCGCCTCCACGGGCACTCTCAACGCCGGTTTCCCGTACAGCGACGACAGTTTCTCTTTATTACCCCAGGCTGACCGCAGCCATAACAAAATAGACCTCGTGAGGACGGGCAGGAAGAATAGACGGTACGGCGCCTTTCGGGACTCTACGCCGGGCGGTAAGCGCTGACGGGACGGGACGAGACGACGGGAGTGTGACCGCGCTGACGATCCCTCTGGCAATGCCGGATGCGCCGGAAGATCCTACATTCCGGCTTCAGTGTCCTCCTGGTGAGCCTAGCGGAACTTCTTACCGGGCCCCGACCTGCCATCTCGCATAGTTTAAATAGGTCACTAGGCCACTTAATTAGGGCGGCCGCCTACTGATGGCAGCAGGACCTTCGAATTCGGGGACCCGCGCGCTGTCCGTGAGCCTGTGAAAATTCTTTCCACGCGCACGGTGCGCCTCGCGCACCGTGAAGCCTATCGCAAGTTTTACATTATTACGAAAACAATAATACTTATGCTAATGATTGCCAGAGGGACTCCTCCCCGCTCCGGTCTTAAAATTCCTTGTGACGAGCAACGATTTTTGCTACGTCACAACACTAACAAAATTAATAATAGAGTTCATTGTAAGTTACTTTTATTCTTATAGATGGGATGGAATTCAAATTTAATGTATCGGAAATAGATTTCAATGCGGAGACAATATTTTGTAACGTGAATGGAAAGTATTTAAGTATTCCATTACGTACATCTGTTCGTGTACCTGCAGCACAGTCTGAACATTCGAACCAATTATTTTGGAATGATGATTCCACGAAATTGCTTTTAACAATTTATAGAGATCAGATTTTATTACGAAAAATCAAAACACATAAATTAATGTGGAAGGAGATCAGCACCAGTATGGCCGAATTGGGATATAATGTTACTCCCACGCAAGCAGAAAATAAATTGCAAACATTTGATGATGATGATGATGATCTCTAGTAACAACAAAAAATGTACGTGGACGATCTACGTGTCGCTATGAAGAGTAAGCATTGTTAATTTACTTCATAATTTAATATATGAAGAAATATACACATAATACGAAATAATACTTATTGCAGAGAGTTGACAGAGCTTCTAGGAAAGAAACATAATATAGTGCCTTTGGCCGTTTCTAGTCGAAATGGCTTAATAATCAGAGAACGTACAAATGCGATAAAAGATTCACCATTGTCACCAGTGGATGATCCCCTTAATTACATGTAAATAGATTTAATGAAAAAAATTGTTATAAAATGTTACGGCATACCTTATGAAGTGTGCAAAATTTTTGTCATGATATAATTTCAATTTTGTAATGAAACGGATGTACATTACAATATTGATGTCCTGTTTTGTTCACATAGGGAAGTGAAACTACTTGACGCTACTACTGTTGCTGCTGCTGCTGTTCCAGGTTCGAGCTCCAGCAATATAGTACATGGCGGAAACGTGTACTGGCATGTGCAGTCACTACCCCACAACAATTTTCGCGGACGAAAAAAACAAGAATGGGGAATACTACAAAGCATCTTCAACAGTGCCAAGCTACTCTAGAAGAATATCTGAAAGCAATGAGAGCGCAAAGATCAATAAGAGAAGAAAAATCTAAACAAATGGTAAAACTATACAAAAGTTATTCAGATAACATGGAAAAACAAAAGCTAATAGCATATGCGCAACGAAATAAACGCAATAAATGATTAAAACATTGAATAGAAATATTGTCGAAAAAGAAAACTTAATTATAAATAATTGTTATTGTAGTTCGTCAGANACAATAATACTTATGCTAATGATTGCCAGAGGGACTCCTCCCCGCTCCGGTCTTAAAATTCCTTGTGACGAGCAACGATTTTTGCTACGTCACAAACTCCTCCCCCCCCTAGGGAAGCCGGAGCATACGGAGGCTATAGGAGTCCCTCGCACAACCCAAGAGATCTCTGACCGCATCACGGGAAGGATATGGAACAAACAAGGGGGATAACCGCTCAATTTACGGTTTATTGCACATGAACACAAATTAGGCCTTTTACTTGGCCTACCCCTCTACGGGACGGGAAGCGGGGCGTTACCACGCGAACAAAAGAAAATATAATCGCCAGCGGGACGACAACTCGAAACTAAATGGCCGTCAACGGGACGGTAATGACGAAAGTAGATAGCCGTGAACGGGACGGTACAACCAAAAGGAATACAAACTTCCCTCGCCGGACGGTAATAACGGGAACAAGGTTCATCCACGGAACGGTCTTACAAAAGAAACATATCCCGATCCCTTAACGGGAAGGTATTCTAAGAAGGAATGAACAGTGACACAATTAACGAAAAGGAAAAAAACAAGGCATCAGGGGAAACCACTAAAGGGGCCGGGGTGCACTTAAGAAAAAAACAAAACGGCGATTTTTCCTTCCAGGAACTTAAAAACATAACTCGGCGTCATTGCCCCCCAGCACCTCGACCCCATTCCCCATTTCGGGTGATACACCCAGGAGGTAAAACCTCCCCCGGGTCTATCCCCGGCAGTCCTCCTTCCCATGGCGACGGCAACGTCGGTCGCGATCCACGCATCGCCGGCAATCACCCAAGGTGCGCCCCCGGGCTCCGCACCCGTAGCAAAAGACCTGCCTGGGGAAGGGACACTGCGAATATGGGTGGCCCAACCCCAGGCAGTTCCAACATTCGTCCCCACCCCGGCGGCCTTATCCGGACAGGTGGGCCGGTTGTGGTGGTGGTGTGACCGGGCAGTGGGCCGGAAACACCAGGGAGTTGGATGGTTCCTTCCTGATTCCTCTCAGTATAGCCCCTTNCACAATTATCGGCAACTAATTTTTTACCCTAAGAGCTATTACAGAGCACGTGTTATCCACGAAACAAGCGTGCGTTCTTCAGAAATCGTTTATAAAAGTATTCTCAATATTTTCCCACCTGACTCTGTAAGATTATACGACTATATTGTTCTAAATTGTCCAGACTCGGTCCTGAAACTCTTCATTTTTGATTCTAGGCCTTCAAAAGGCGTGAAAATATCGAAAATATGCGACGTTGGTTCTAGTCCATGATAAGCTAATAAATTTTTGTATGAAAAATGAAATTTCGCGAGTTTCAGGACCATCATTAGGGTCTCCGTATTCATGTACTCAAATTTGAAACGATTCGGTTCACCCAGTTCGGAGAAAACTTTTATAAACGATTTGACCCCTCAGAGACGCCTTTCACATCCCCTTAACCGTGTCGACCTATTTGAAACGTGTGTTTTCATGACGAGTATACTCGTCAAACACAGCTAACAGGTTAACCCGCAAGTTCAATGTCCATTTTAAATTAACCCCCTAATAAATGGAGTAAAATTTCAGGTCGTTTCCATGATAAAGATGGTTTCATGGTTTCATGGTGGCCAAATGTGATTGTCGATATGTATAAAGAAAGGGCAGCATGTTTCATTAGTCAGTTTAACCAATATAAAGTTATAGAATTGGAGAAGATAAACAAAACCGTTTACGTGAGTCAATTTCATGCAACGTAATCAATTACTGCACAACCATTATTGAAATTACTAATAACCTTACTGAAATTGTGTTCAGGGACCTGGAGAACAAACTCAGAGCGAAAACATTGCTGATTCCAGCGGTCTTCAAACTTTAGCCGCTGTTTATCGAGCAAAAGCTGCTCAGCGAGGGCACGAGGAGCCACGATTGCCCTATTTAACAAAGTACACGAATGAACAAGTTTTCTTTATGTCGTTTGCAAATGTAAGTCAGTGAGACTCATCGATCAGAAATCATATTCCACGACTTGAACTTGTATCGTTAATGCTATTCTGCTCTTATTATAGTCATTTTGCGACAATATGAGACCAGAGATGATGTTGTTCCAAACAGAAGTGGACCAGCACAGCACTCTACATTTAAGAGTGATCGGCTCAATAGCAAATACCCAAGAATTTGGTGAAGCCTTCAATTGCTCAGCAGGAACTCCAATGAATCCAAAGAAAAAATGTAACTTATGGAAATAAATCCCAAGAGACGCTACTGCTCCTCTAGCGGAAAATGGTACTACTTGGCAAATTCCGAGATAACTGTGCTGCCACGGAACGACAGGCAGTGGAAAAACTTGTGACCTTGCAAACGTCACTGCTGTGCGTGTCGTGACAGTCACGGCTCTGTGATTGTCATGCAACCGTATTCCAGTAATGTTGAACGTTAGGATCATCTGGAGTCGTGTCTCAATAAAAATGTCATACTTCACGTAAGGAAATGAAGGCTTTTTTACAGAGAAATACATACAAATAGGAAATAGATAACTATGACCTCACACAACAAAAGAACTCGACATTTAGAAGTACTTATGCATTAACGTATTGCATGTAGTGGAACATCCCACAAGAACCGTGTAGCTGGCTGTCTCTGCCAGTGGCACATTATGTTTTCTCTACCACGCAGCGACGTCACAACATACATTAGAGCTCATAGCGAAAATTCGCTCAAGTTTTGTACAAGGGAAATCTCATTGATATCTTCGTATGTCGCACCCAAAAGTGTCGAGTTTGTGTACTCAATAACAATCCTCAGTATTAGAATGTGATGTTGACAAGTGTACATCTTTCCCCGCGTAGCCTTTTTCTAATTTTCATTAGTGTGTTACGGAGCGGCCGAGCGGATGCGAGGCCGGGGTAATTTGGATGGAGATTACCCAAATCTTGCGCGTAACGTTTATTTCGCGTCTGGGAGGAGATTGATCCGAGCGGCTAGATCAATTCCTCTGGTGGGATCTAGGAGAGTGAGGAATAAAAAGGGGGTGCGAACGAAAGGCTATGTGGCGATACGAGTTGTATTTATTCGTACGCGAGGTTTGAACTACAGTCAGCTGTGAGGAGCGCACGAGGTGCCTTGACGTAATTTCTCTGGATTAGTATACTTCCGCGTCGCGGAGATTCGGGTGTCGCGATAGCGCGTTTTAGCGGCGGCAGGTTACTGGACGCCGGAGTGCTGACGCGGGAATTCTTGATATTTTNAACTGCGGCTGGAATGAAATAAATTATGAATTTTTACTGTTGTAGTTAAGATTGTTTTTTATTCTATTGCAAATACCCTAACCCTTATTGACCCTCAATACTTTATATTCGTGAAAGAAGGAATTTCCGTCTTCTACAATTACAAGGTAATGAAATGATTAGTAGGATTCTCGGAAACGGAAAATAGCCCTGCTGTAAATCTTAATTTGGAAACTCTTGCAAGTATTCTTTCTCATCTTATCTAAAATACTCCTTTCCCTAATCCTTTTTTAAAATACTCCTTACCCTAATCCTTTTCTAAAATATTCCTTTCCCTAATCCTTTTCTAAAATACTCCTTTCCCTAATCCTTTTCTAAAATACTCCTGTTTTCCACGTTTCGCTTCCTGCTCTCATTGGTTCTCCTTTACTTTGAAAACCCCTACTTTTCAACATTTTATCAAACAAACAAAACTCCCACTCCTTCGATGTTCAACAAACCTTAGAGTTTGAGTTCGACGATCAGTTCGAGTATTACCACCAAAGAAACAGTGTCATAGCTCCATCGGTTTATATTCTTCATTTTACAGATGCCTTATACGGTAAGTTTCTAAAAAGTAGAACTTAACCTAAATAACGTTAACGGGCGATAATAAGGTGATAATGTAATTGGAAAAATACTTTTTTTCTTCATTCTGAATAGGAATTAAAAACATTTCACATGAATGCAAGCGGTGGATTCTATGTCGTGAGGGACGAGGAGGAAAGTATTTTGGTCGATGAGAATGGGTTGGTCACCATCGAATCTATAGGTATGTAAATGTTAATTAGAGACATGTTATATATTATACATTTATTTAAAAATCTATATAAACATTTATAAACTATATAAAATTTTCGCAAAATAGTTTTCCTGTTACAAGGTACTTGTATTTTATTTTTGTTGAAACACTAAACTACAACATTCCTATATACACTGCGACGAGAATTCCTATCCCTAGTCGGCAAACAGTCATACGCTTGGGGTACCTTAGCGAAAAGGGTGTCAAGCCCGATCATCGGCCTTTCCGGGAGCCCGATTTATTTAGGGCGTCAGGTGCGCGCGCGCACCTCGGGATCCTGGTACCCGGTAGCGCGAGCAACCCGACTCGGTCCGATCGACGGAACCCACCCGGGCGTATCCGACCAGCTACCCAGCCCCGCTAGGACCTTAGGCCCTTCGCGGCACGGCAGAGCCGGGGGGTTCGCACTAACGTGAGCGCGAGCGAAGAGAAGTCCGATTCGGGATTCGCTAACCGGGATTAGGTAAATTAACAAAAAGGAACTGCGAAAAAGGACCCTCCCTTCGGGAGATTTATTTCACCTCTCGGCCCTACTCGATAACGCGTTACAATATGGGCGAGACTTCACGCCGAGTCGATACGGGAAAACTCAGAACTGGGAAATAGAAAATTAACGGGACCAACGAAATCGAACAAGGCTCGCGATCACAGAAACGGACTCCCCGGTGGAAGTCCGGACAGGGTACAACACCCTCGCGGACGGACCTTTAACTTGCCCTCGGGACCTGTATAAGAGCCCGGTGCCTTCGGGAAGTGCGCACAAGGGGACTCGGCAACGGCTCGCGGTACGGTCCTACACCTCCCACCCACTCCAACCTGCTTGCTAGCAGCCACCGAAAGATTAAACACAATTATTAAAAACTTCACGTACGGTAAGGGGCGCGATCAAGAATACATTTTTATTTCCGACTTCAATTACAAAAATAACTCTACAATGGAAATCAATTATTTTTGCCAAATACAATAGTACTTTCATACTATTAAG